CGCGACATGGATGGTCGCACCGGGGCTTCTCTGAAGCTTACCATCCTCAACGAGAAGGGTCGGGTTTGGACGATGGTCGCAGGCGGAGGCGCCTCCGTCGTTTATGCTGACACCGTGGCCGACTACGGCATGGGCTCAGAGCTCGCGAACTATGGAGAGTACTCCGGAGCTCCGTCCACCGAGGAAACTTTCGTGTATGCCAAGACCCTGTTGTCCCTGATGATGAAGTACAAGCACCCGGATGGCAAGTTTCTGATCATTGGTGGTGGCATTGCCAACTTCACGGATGTGGCTGCGACATTCACTGGTCTTATCAAGGCACTCCAGGAGTATGCCGATGACATCAAGGACCTGGCAAGTGCATGTTGCATGACATCTTGCTGTCAGTTTTTTAGCTTCCGAGCACATGCGGCTGCCAGGAGCACAAGATCAAGATCCTGATTCGCCGAGCCGGTCCCAACTACCTTGAAGGCCTGCGCAAGGTGAAGGCTGCCAGCGACAAGCTCGGCCTCGGCATCAAGGTGCCTGTCCCGCAATATCTTGCAATGTAATCTACGCTAAGCTCTAAATGCCAGGTGTACGGCCCGGAGACCCACATCACGGCCGTGATCCCAATGGCCCTGGGAAAGATCGATCCCCTTCCAGAACCGGACTTGTCTGCTCCCTGCGGACCTCCGGCCGGGCTCCCAGGACGTGTGAGGGTTCGAAGGTGTGCTCGCTCGTGCCCTTTGGGCATGTTCAGGTTCGGAAGATGATTGACCTCAAGGGCAAGAAGCGCGCCTGGCGAGATTGTACCAACAGTCTGCACGCCTTCTTCGAGACGTTTCTTTCTTTGCAGGCCCACTCCGAAGGGCCATCCTCCAGCGCCTGCAGGTGGATAGCTCGCTCTGCCAAGATGTGCTCGTGTTGTGTGATCATCTTGGTGCACTGGTGCACAATCTGCGCTACCGTTTCCGTTTGGTTGCTAGCATTCGTCTTCTTCCTCTTGATGGCTCTGGGCGGATGGTAGGATTGATGGCGTCATTTGTGTTACTTCTTGCTGTTGGGCTGCATGTTGAGATCTTTCGTGCACAGGCACCAAGCACACACTCGTGACAGCCACGTCACGCCCGCATGTTTTGCACGCAAAACATGCTTTTTTTTCACCTCCCGTCTTTCAGAATTTCATGCCGGTGGCAAGGCCAGAGACCACATCGATCGTGTACGGCATGCAAAACCGAGCGGTTCAAGGCTAGGCTGGTTTCTTCTTGCCGCAATGCATTCGCAAGGCACTGCCAAATACGTTCTGTCGCACGGTGTGCGCGGATGGCAGAATTCATGCCTTCACAGCGTCCAGGTATGTTGGACTTTGACTTCATGTGCAAGCGTACCCTGGCAATTGTGTATGGCAAATGAGATCGTGAGAAGCACAGCTTCCTGCGATTGAGGCAAGAAGCCGTCTGTGGATGCCATGGTCTTCCCCTTCTCCGGCAACTTGGCTGCGACGAAACTAGCTTAGCTGACTTTGTCCCTGCTGCACCTGGCCTCGGAGCAGTAGCCAAGGAAACCATTACGCAACTGGGCTGCACGCAAGACTGCTGTTTCGACGTGACATCCGACCTCTTCTGGGACCGACAAGGTCAAGTTCTATTGGGGCACAGAGGAGGCAGTCGTGTGAATGGTTCCAGACTGTGTTTCCCAGTCCAGCCGACAAAGTGCTGTTGACTCGTGGTTTCTCTCTGCAGTAGCTTTACCTTCGATCTTCTTGAATGCTGTACCACCATTTGCCTGGCAGGTCCTGATGCCTGTCTACACTACGACCAAGGAGGCCTTGCATTTTGGTACCAGTGGTGTACCTTCAAGTTAGGCAGTGGAGTGAAGGGAGGATGGAGAGACGTGGGCCACACCTGGCACATCCCCGTCGATGGGCAGTGTTTGTGCAAGAGTGCAATGCGGTCAGCTTTCGTAGAACGGGCTCACGGACAAGGCGGTGCAAAAGCATTCCAACGCCTCTGTGTTCGTGAACTTTGCCTCCTTCCGCTCCGTGCACGAAACCTCTATGGAGGTCTGGTGAGGGAGCTGTGTTGGTTTTATCTGGAACAAGCGTCTTCAGATGCCTGCTTTGTGAAGGCCATGAATTACAGCAGTTTGAAGACAATCGCCATCATTGCCGAGGCTCCTTTTTGTGGTTTCTGGCAGGTTGTTGCCCTGTCGTGTGCTTGTGCCGTTGGCAGGGTGTGCCTGAGCAGCAGACCAGGGACATCATCAAGGTCGCCGAGAAGAAGGGCGTAGGCCCGCATGCTTGCCAATACAGAAAGCAAGCTGATCTGTTATTGATTTTGCCGCTGATGATACCACACCGGCCAGGCATCATCGGCCCAGCAACTGTGGGTGGCATCAAGCCTGGCTGTCTCCGCATCGGGAACACTGGCGGTATGCTGCAGCCTTAGATGCCAAGTTTCCCTGTTCGTCTGGGGTCTAGTTGCCCCTGAAAAGACCATGGATCAAGGTTGGA